TTCTCAGGTGCCAACAGTTGATGGCCGAATGGAGGTAAAGTCCGGATTTCGAATGCCTTACTACTAGCGTTGAAAATGTTTGTAGGCAATTTTTAAAGCCCTTCCTTATTGCAACACCATCTTAGTATCTTATTTCTTTTAATTTTACCACGTGCCATACTTCATAAACATTTTAAATATAGTGAATAAAGAAAAAAAAAAGGCTGAATAGGAAACGCCTCATCGTAGAACAATAGCTAGTCTTGTCGATTGTTACAATTACTTCTTTTTACAATGATCTTCACTCTGTACAAGGATCGGGAGCCAGTCAAGGTAGAGGGTTACAGAATAAAAGGTCCAGATGTGTAGAAGATGACGGTTAACCTTAGATATGAATCGCTTAAAATTGTAGTGATCGGAAAGCATCTTCTTGGGAGTCGGTTCCACAAGGCAGCGGTTCGTGAGACGCTGCTGCTCAAGTGAAACTTACCAATGGAATACGAAGGGAGTGGAGTTGGTTCGCTACAATGTGCTTAGCACGGTGGGTCTTTGCCGTAAATATTAGAACTGGTGAAACTAAGGAATGTAGTTCATCTGAGCACATTCCATGGAAATAGCGACAGAGCAGTGACAGGCTTGCGACGTTCCGTCTATGACAAAGGGGGTTGGAGGATAGGAAATAATTAGTCACCCACAAGGACGTGGAGACGATTTTGGGTTCTCTTGAGACTGGAAAATGAAGACTGTCCATATATGGCAACACACTCTATTTTCGGCCTGATCTGGCTCTTGCAAAGGTAAAGGATAGCATAGGGAGTCAGGTACTTACGGGAGCGGTATAACAAACCGACCATTTTTAAGCATCTTTAGCGATGGATCGTATGATGGATTTCCACTTAAAGTCTGGGTTGAGTTTAAGTCTAAAAGGGCGTTCAAGGCACGGGACCACCTTGAGGGAATACAAAACCAGCACTGGATACATAGTCCGAATTCATATATTCATCGTTACTCGTGATAGTTCAGGGTCCGATTGGTGAGTAAAATGCTGCTTTGTGATTGATATAGTTATGTGTTGCAGCATACCTTCGGACGATAATGGGTATGTCCCAATTCACATAAATACAGTAGTAAATACTGTATGTTGGTCTGCAGTTAGAGATTTGTCTCGAGCTGTGCTGGTCAAACTCTCTACCTCCGGGCAGAGAGGATCCCCAGACGAGTCTATGTCGAAGAGCAAAGTAACATTCTCTTTCTATCTGCTCTTTCTCTAGTTAGATGTACCAATCTAAGGAAAGGGACAAAATGAGAAGAAAATGAATCATGGTGGAAAGATGTAAAAGATTAAATGCGTGTGTGCATGATGGAACGAGAAAGAAAGAGAAAAGTAGGAAGACTAGAATAATTCGAAAGGAGATTTGGGCAAGACACGTAAAAGAAGAGAGAAAGAAAAAAAGATCTAGAAAAGAGGTTGATGCCTTTTAATATTCTGTGTGAATTTGAATATTGTATATCACGTGGTCATTATAACTTTAACTATTTCTTTTATAATCCTTAGTCGATTGCTGGTAGTGGGTTCATTGGTATCTGGCTCATTCAGGATTTCTTGTTGATGTAATTCAGTCTTGATTCTATGTCAATTCACAATAACTTAGCGGAATCGGGCATTGGTGAATAAGGAGCAAAGTATATATCCGCTGCTAAAGAACTATCAGAACCAAATCGTAAAGCCATTACTGCTTCAAGAGCAGTCTGGACTTGTGAACGAACTACGACATTAACATATACAATAATGTTATTTCATGACCGACAAAACATTTGGCATTACATCAATCTGCAAAACTTTCCGCTTTTAAAAGTACATCTTTATGGATTCCCAAATAATAAGAGAAATATCCACCTTTGAGCTGATGATGCGTAAGCTAATACCTTTTGACGTAGTCACTTAACTGTTCGGGTGACTTTATCACAATCTGACATTAGTATGTATCTATCAGCCCATTCTTTATGTTTCTTGGTGCCAGCAACATTCTGGATAATCGCTCTCCCGTGGGATAATCCATAGTTGCCGAAATCTACCGTGTTTTTTGTTTTACACACAAATTATCTGCACCCCATGTTTAACTATTTTTCTACACCTGTAGGTGGTTGGCTTTTGAATTAAATTGTCCTAGTCTGCTCTTCTTATTAATTCATAGCTGGGTGGATGAAGAAGAGATGCATTCATACCTTTCCCAAGGGTATTAGTGCGAAATTGAGTGTAACGAACTCCCCCTAAATTCGAACTTGGTTCGCTAATTTCTCGTTCCGGGCATCTAACCACTACGCTAACCTACACTTTCAATTGGGACATCTGCAGTCAATATTAATGTTCGATCCGAAGAAATCGATATTTGCTTTTGAAATTGGTAGTTTGTGGTTCGAATCTATGTAATCTGTTTTATACATTAAGACATTTCATCCAATCTTTTACTGATTATTTAAGCAGACATATCCCCATGAAACAACGATTTATTCTTTTCGATGACTTAGTCCATATCAGGTGTCTCACCAATTTGCTCATTAGGGTAATTATTGATAGAATCAGACATTTTGCCAAATCTTTTAGATCTTTTGATTTACTAAGCACACAATTTTTTGCTGCGCCTCTTCCACTATCATAACATAAGAGTCATGTTTTATGGTCTTCAAATGCCGCTTTGTTCACTTTGGTGTGTACCAAATCAATACAATTATTTGTCCTTAAGAAGGCAAATCCTTAAAGTCATTTCTGAATAAAGCTAAGTGAAATAGTCTGGTCGATTAAAAGAACATCGCTGTGTATTGTCAGCAAGTACGAGCCAACAGAAGGGCTACCGTGGTATAAATTGCAGGTAATTTTAATCAAGATTAAAAAAGTACATCAACCTTTGTTCTATATAGTGCTGCGTAGACAGCTAACCATTAGACGAAAGTGGAACAGAAAATTGCATCAATAGAGAACGTTACCTGGTCCGATGAACCTTGCTTTCTTCTGGATTAAGTCGACGGCAAGGTATGTATGCGGCGTTATACTAGGAAATCGACAAGCACTGTAGCAGGCAGTGTGATGACTTGGCCGACATTCTGCTGGGAAGCAATGGGTCCTACTATTCATATGGTATTAAATTTGTTACGTACCACCTGCCTAGATATCATTGAAGATCAGGTACGCCCCTTCATGTTAACAGATTTCTACGAGGGCAGTGATGTTTTCAACGAAACAATGAGACATTACATCCACTATTATGAGAATTATTACAGGAACATGAAAAAAAAATCTTTCTTTTTTGCTTCCTTGTCTTCTTTCTTTCGTTCTTTCTTTCTTTTTTCTTTCTCTGTCTCTTTTAATCTGTTTCCTTCCTTCTACTCTTATTTTTCATTCATTCTTTACCTAATTTTAATTTTCTTACTTCAAAGTTTTTCTTTCTTTCTTTATTTTCTTTGTTTTTTTTTCTTTCTTCTCTGTCTCTTTTAACCTGTTTCTTTCTTTCTTTCTTTCTTTCTTTCAACCTGTTTCCTTCCTTCCATTCTTTATTTTATTTTTCATTTAATTGTTTTTCATTTTATTTTTCTTGCTTTACAGTTTTTCTTTCTTTTTATTTTTTGCTTTCCTCTTCCATTTTTCTTTCTCTGTCTCTTTTAATCTGATTCCTTCCTTCCACTCCCTTTATATTTCATTCATGTTTACCTAATTTTAATTTTCTTTCTTTTTTTTATTTTTCATTTTAATTTTCTAGCTTCACAGTTTTTTTTTCTTTCTATTTTCTGCTTTCCTCTTTCTTTCTTTCTTTCTTTCTTTCTTTCTCTTTTCACCATGTGGGATACTTAAAAACATAAAAATGATGAAAACAAAAACAAAAAGCAACTAAATGAAATTGGCTAAGCTTTATAGCCAAACACATATTTTAAAAATAATTTAAATTGAAAAGTTTAAAATTTCATCGTCCCCCTCCTCTTCGTGTGCATGTGTTTATTTCGTCTGCCGGTTTGCACACTGAAATAAACACCGTGTTGCAATTAACACCTAATTTAAGATTTATTCAGTGATTGATTGGGTAATTTGCTTTTTTACGACTTGTCAACCCTTTGCACGTTATTTGAAAAAAGAAAATATTTTTAAATTGTAAGAATTTTTGGAGATAATAATAATTTACTGATACAGGTTCTACCAATTAATCCATAGCTGGGGGAGAAGAATTGGATTCGTGCCTTTCCGAAGGATATTTGCACGTAAGTGAATATAAAGAACACGACTGGAATTGGAACTCGGCTCTGCGAATTCCAAACTTGAGCCATTTACACCAGTCGCACACCCAAACTTACAAGTTATTATTCCCAAGCGGTTACCCATCTAAGTAAAAGCTCAACTTCAGTGATCCTACATGAACTGGTGTTTCAACATGATATGGCCGTAAGATCCCTCCCACACACTTCACGAGATCTTTATCTCATTGAGCTATTATGAGGGGGCGTCATACCGACAGCTTCGCTCTGAAAAATCTCTATTACGTATCTTTCAGTGGTTAAATTACCTGCTTTTAGTCTACCTGATCATGGAGTAAATGATCAGGTAAGAGCTGTTTTGAAGGAATATGAAGAATCAACACCTTATTAGGTTGGTGGTCAAAATGTTTTGGTTAACCAGTGTATGATTTCATTGCTTCACCCAGAGATTGAACCCATGGTAACTAGATAACTAGATACACCTGAACATCGCCTTTGTCGACTAGGCCACGAAAAACAAACAAACAAACAAAACAAATTGGAGGAATTAACTGACATGAAGTCTTCTCGAGTATAGACAATAGAATGAAAACACCCCCCACCACCACCACTGGTAGATTGAATAAAGGGTTTAGTTGTAAATTCCGAGGAGGTTACTGAAATTGGATACTTACCGGAAGAAGACAGGAGTGTATAGCGGTTGAAGCGTTGTGACTATAAAAGCCAAAGTAATCCAAATAGATTATCATTATTATGAATTAATCTATCATTGTGGAAATTCAGGCAAAAAAAATAATTATGGTTACAATAATCTTGTGATATTTTCGGAGTAAATGATGAAATAGAAGAAAGTAAAAGATAAAATCGAGAAAAGAGGAAGTCAAATAAAGAAAGGGAGAGAGAGAGAGGGGAAAAAATGAAACAAATAGCAAAAGGGAAAGTAAAATAAAAAAAAGAGAAGAAAAAAAGAGAAAATAAAATGGAAAAAAGTGAGCGGGAAAAGAGAATTTAAAATGTAAAAGTGAGAGAAGGAAAAGAGAAAGTAAAATGGAAAAACGAGAGCGCGGTAACAGAAAGTAAAATGGATAAGGGGGGGAGAAAGTAAAATGGAAAAGAGAGAGAGGGGAAAAGTGAAAGTAAAATGGAAAAGAGAGAGAGGGGAAAAGTGAAAGTGAAATGGAAAAGAGAGAGAGGAAAAGTGAAAGTAAAATGAAAAAGAGAGAGGGGAAAAGTGAAAGTAAAATGGGGGAAAAGAGAAAGGAAAAGAAAAAGTAAAATAGAAAAAAAATGAGTGGGGAGGGGAAGAGAAATTCAAATGGAGAAGGAACAGCGAGGAAAAGAGAGAGGTGAAAAAGAAAGTCAACTGGAAAATCCAGAGGTAAAAGAGAAATTCCAATGGAAAATAGTGATGAAAACATTGCAAAAGTATGAGGTTAAAAAGTAACTCAACTCCTAAAGAGAGAGGATAAAGAGAATTCGGTTGAAAGAAATATAGAATAAAAGTGACATACAACTGGAAAAGAGAAATTCAACTGAAAAATAGAGAAAGGTAAAAGAATGTCAAATAGAAAAGGGAGTGAGAAAAGAGAAATCCAACTGGAAAAAGGAAGGAAAGAGAAATCCAACATGTAAAGAGAGAGTGAAAAGAAATCCAACGTGAAAAGAGAGGGGTGAAAAAAAGAGAAATTCAACTGCAAAAGGAAAAAAAAAGTCAAACGAAAAAGGAGAGAGGATAGGGAATTTCAACTGGAAAAGAGAGAGTATAAAGAGAAATCCAAAGTGAAAAGAGAGAGAGAGAGAGGGGGAAGGGAGAGAGAGGGGGGGGGAGAGCGCACGGGGAAGGAGAAATTCAATTGGAAAAGGAAAAAAAAAAGAACGTCAAATGGAAAAGGAAGAGAATAAAGAGAAAGTCAAATCGAAAGAAAAAAAATGGCGCTTAAAAAGTGGGAAGTTACTATCGACAGAGGAAGAAAACGTATTAAAAAGGAGCGAGAAGAGACAGCAAAGGAAAAGAGAGAATATGACATCAAAGAAAAGGAGAAAGATAAAAAGAAAAATAATACATATATATTTATCTATAATATTTATATATTTGTGAAACCAGCGAGAAAGTCGAAGACGGCTAGAATAAAGTAGAAGTTCAATGAGAAAGAGGAGGAAGCTTATACAGAATAGAAGAATTGTATTCAAAACCAAAAAATTAAAAAAAGTTACCGGCTTCTAAAAGAAGCGTTCGGGTGTAGAGTAACCATTCCAGCAAAAACGCGTTTCTGTATCTATTAACTTACACTGACAAGCAAAATGATCGATCGATGGACAGTAAAGAAAAAAACAAAACAAAAAACCAACAAACAAATAAAACGCGGGAAATTCCAACCTAACTCAAACCCAACTCCTTGCCTACAGTCGAATAACCAACCCACTGACCCATCTGTCAAAATCAATAAAAACAATTCGTAACAGCGACAGCAGCAACAGAATTGTTGAAGGCTCTTGGATTGAGGCTACTGGCAAGTGTGAGAGGACAGAATTCGGAATAAACAGGAATCTGCGACTTATCAAGAATTGGCTTCTACTTTTCGAAACTTCTGTCGCTTTCCAACTAATCCGAGATTCATCTTCCCTTTACTGCTCCATGTCAAGTTTGCATTACCAAGGAAGACCAGACAAAGTTAAAAGTGACACGACAGCAGTGGTTTCAAAAGGAGCTCTCTAATCTTTAGAAACGTGTTTGGTTTATATTCCAAAATGTCGGTTGCAAGAAATGGAAGTGATTAAAAGAGTTCTCTGTAAGTTTTAGCAAACAAATTTCAAAATACTTGATTTTCTAAGCAGTAAATACAAATTATAGACACTCAAAACTTTGGTCAAGTATTTTTTTTATCATTTCGTGCATTTTTACGATTATATTTTCCTCTTTTTATTGAAGTTGGTTGGTTGGTTGATTTTGTTTGGCAGCATATCAGCCTCTTATTTAATGCCGAAATCTAAATATTTTGAACGCAATTGCATCCCTTCAACTACAGATAAAATGTATTGATGGTCATTTTACTATAAATATATGTTGTTGATAATTTTTTATATAAAAATGTATTGCTGGTATTTTTACTATAAAAATGTATTTTTATGCTTCCGTAGTTTTTTGTTTTTGTTTGGGGGTTCACTATTTATCCATAGCTGGGACCGTAACAGATGCTACCACCCGAGTTAGGGTGGAACCGGGAACAAACGCAGTTAAGAGGTAGTTCTATTCTCCTCAAAACTTCCAATGTCCCGAACAGTGGCATTGTTACTGGAGGTAGTTTGTCATACCCAAGGAATATTTTTTTTTTATTGAGGAGTTGCAATGTTTTTTTTTTTTGTTTTTTTGTTGTTTTTTTTTAAATATTGCACCACCTATTATAGACGTATATATCAAGAGTACAGGTTTATCTGTTGTTTCCTGTTTAGGATTGGATTTCCTGTTCCTTCTAATTTTTTTTCATTCTCTTTCATTTCCAGTAGCCTCTTGCGTCTTAGTGACATTATCACCTTGAATACGAAAATAATAGATGAGCTGATTCACACACGATCTGCGCATAACATTACTTGCGTGTATGCAATGTATATGCATATGCCTTTGTTTGCATGAGTGACTTATATTTGCTTGTGTCATTTAAGGTACACTACACACATACACTCACACTATTTGACTGAATTTGAAATAAAACATTGGAATAATGCATTCCTTTCACACTTAGTCGTGACTACTCCTACTCTTAGTTGAGCAATAATAAGCAAAAAAAAAATCAACATGACAAAAAGACAATTATTAGATTATAAGATAATTATCAGATTTTATTAAACTTTTCGGAAAATATTCTCTAATAAATATTATTATTTTTAAAACCTTTTTTGAAGATAAAATATTAAAATATTTTTTTAGGTTTGTCATTGAATTAAAATACGCATGCACGCCCGCATACGTATATATAAACATTTATTTAGGAATATAACTCCTTGTAAATAATTTTAATCGTTTCAATAAATCTTTCAAACTTATTGAAATCCAATAATTGGTTCATATTTATAGATATTTAGAATGTATTTTCTGTTAACGTAATTTACAATAAATACTTTTATAGTTTCGACACAGTATAAGCTTTGTCAACAGAAATATCGATATATATATATATATATATATATATATATATATATATATATATACATATATATATATATATATATATATAAAAGGTTATAATTGTTCCAACCAGAGAAAAAATGTATTTTAAAAAAAGAGAGAAATCGCAAACGTTTTTGGTTATAATATATATTTGTTTTAGTGTATATATTATATTATATTCCTCATATTTTTGCTACACGTGTTTCCGGTTAGGGATCAGATCGGCGATGATGGAATGTAACTGGATTGGTCTTCGAGACATTGAATGTAACCAGTCAGTTTTTACCTCATTGGTTAGTTTGTGCAAGAACGGAAGAGCGATAAGTCACCAATCTCTGACCATCGAGAATTTTAGAGGTGCGCCTGTATATAGTCCTATCATTGACATAGATATTTACAAATGATCTGAGTATATTCTTAGGTAGATCATTTATGTAAATCGAAAAGAGGCTTGGTCCGAAGAGTGACCCATGAGGGACGCCTGCGTTGACCTCTAGGGCTCCAGAGAACTGGCCATTGATAGCTACTTTCTGGGACCTACCTGTTAGGAAGGATTTTATGATCGAGAAGACCCTTCCAGTGATTCCATAACTGGAGAGCTTGTGTAGAAAACGTTTGTGCCACACCATGTTGAAGGCCTTTGAGATATCTAGTGCTATTGTCCTCGAGGTGTGTTTGTCTTCAAGAGCCTCACTGATTCTGTGAGTAATGGTAGTTAAGACGTCGGCAGTGGATTAGGCCGACCGAAATCCATACTGCTCGCGCTGAAGATGTCGACCATTATTTTATTAGCACCAGTACACACTGTGCGATATTTTATATTCGTATTTATTTATATGATGTCTTACATTGGTCACACACGACACTGAGTTGGCACGCGCGCACACACATACACATATATATATATTTTCGATAAACGTGCAATCAATTTACAAATTCATGAATTATTCACACAAAAACAAATGCAAAGGTTAATGATTTAATTGGCGAGAAATCCATCGTAGCAAACAATTCAAATAATATACAAAACCTCCGAATCCGTTATGAATGAAAAGATCCTTGTTTCTATAAATTTCTGCCGTATTAGTTCTTATTTTTACTACAAGCTTTCGTCTGTTCCAACAGACATCTTCAGGTATGGAATAGATGTTGTTCTTGTTTTTCTCTTAGTAATAAGTTATATATATATATATATTTAAATTTGTGTATTTGGACAGCAATCCTTCTTTCTTTTAAATGAAATATATATATATATATATATATATATATATATATATATATATATATATATATATATATATATATATATATATATAGTTTCTTCCGTCATCGAGACCTGTTGTTACAGTTGGTATGACGTTTGCGTTGTATCGAAACAGTCTGGGTTCGAATTGGATGCGCACTGCTGATGAGTCCCAAAAATAGGACGAAACGGCCATCCAGTGCTTTCTGCATTCTGTTGAGGATTCTTCTAGACTCGATGAATAACTATAATGATTTGCCTAAATCTCTAAAATTGTATCATATATATATAATATATATATATATATATATATATATATATATATATATATTATTTACCCTATAAAACTATCTTGTACAAAATTTAACATATCTTTATTAAGTTTAATGTATTATTTCAATAGTATCATGCAGCATTTGCGGGAGACTCAGTGAATTTATATATTTCTTCTTTTTTTTAATGTTTACTTGAAGCTGATATTCACCTTTTAAAATCTTGTGATAGGCAAAGTTTTATTTGCAGTAATCTTCTTTCACAATAAAATATCATGAAACTTCCATACGGGACAAACTAAAGACAGGCAATATGCATAGATGCCAGCAGTTCGTAGGACCTGCTTCTGACTTTTGGGAAAGCAGAAATTTAAATATGTTTAAAATGGTAAGTTAATATTTTATATCACTACTTCTTGTTTATATATTAAATTAATTTAAAATGATTCAGTTTCGCCTGTTAATATAAGCGGTATTTCCTCATCCCAGGATGTTTTTTAGAACATGCCACTGTCGTAAAGTACGAACCTCATTACTAGCTTCGTAACATCCAAATAAGCTTAGTGTAGTTTCATCTGTCACAACTACAAAGATTTTCTATGTCACTTTTTTACGTTCGCTGTTTCTAGCCCCCCTAAAAGCAGTGGCAACCAAAAAGTTCTTATAAAAATGACGAACAAATAAACAAACATCTTTCTTGTTGAAAATAGAAACAATATATTTTCACAAAAATTAAAGTTTTTGAAAACAGTGAGGGTATGTATGGGTGTGTGCAAGAGTGCTTGTAATTGTTTAACCTTTGAGGCATTTTTTTACAACAATATTCACCCTGTAAATGACCCAAGAACTACTCGAGGTAGAGGGTTATAAAATAAGCGGTAGGGTTTATATGGGGAAGATACAGGTTAACTCTAGATATGAACAGGTTAAGATTGTGACGACTGGGAAAGCACCCTTTTGGCAGTCGGTTCCATAAAAAAGCGGTTTGTAGGAAGAAGCTGCTCGAGTGGA